GCTTAGGTTAAGGGCTCACTCACCTTCCTGATCGGCTGTGCTAAGGGAATGAGAGACTATGCGCGGAGGGGAGAGTATGAGGCGAGAGAGTACTACAGATGAGAGAGCGCCAGACAACAGCCTGATAAGAAAAAAAGTCTGCAGCTTGGGCAGCTTACTTTGCAAGGCCCAAGCGCTCTTATCGGTCGGTTTCCGTGCACGAGGACGCCACATCTGTGATTGTCCTCTAGGGTTCTATACTAGTGACCGAAGAGAAGCGTTCACACGAACTCTGCCTGGGTTGTGCCTTTAATTAGAATAATAACGTAGTCTGTGGGCTTGCTTCGAAAATGAATGGTGTCTTCATTTTGAGTGACCTGACCTGAGGAGAAGAACAGAAACGCACCCGATCGGAATGTCGACATCGAGGAGCTGATAGGCGCGCGAACTCCCTCATATGAAATTCTCACATCAGCCGGCACGTGTGCTGTCATTAATATTCAACGAATGTTCCAAATATGGTGTGAATAGGGCAAAAATGGTGTGGTGGAAAATTAATTCACCTTGACCGCGGGCACATGGTCAAGGGATCAAATCACGAATGGAACGTCGTCTAGGTCACCAGCCTTCCATCCAGGGTGAAGCGTACATTACGCAGCTCCCAACGTGGAGGTTTATTTTAGTTGTTGTTTTGGAAGGGGTCCTGTCCGTTATGGGCTGGAAAAGGGCAACAGGTAGAGGAGGGGGTTGCATTTGTGGAACTTGATGAGTCGTGGTTGCGGGGAGAGGCCGTGTTTGAGGATTTTGATCGAAGGAACGAGATGAAAACGGAAGCACGAGAAAATGAGATAAATTCTTTTCTGTAGACGCGGGCTTACTTCCGGAGGTGGGCGGGGGGTCGCCGAAGTTCTAAAAATGGGCCATGGACGGTTGACCCTGCTTCCATCTCTCTCCGGGTTCGGGCAAGTGATGATAGATTTGTGTGAGAGAAAAATGACTTGTGCATTCGCTTTGGTCCTGAAACCTATTGTCTAACAAGGGAAGCATACTAGGTCGAAGTGGCCATTTGTAACGAGACATATACCACCAGATGTGTTTTTGGACGCTGATCTCGAATCTGTTCTCCAAATCTGCGAAACGATTCTCTGGACGTAGTTATGAAGCGCGATAGTGCAGTGGCAGCGGCCCGGGCCGACGAACAAGAGGTCGTGATCGATTCTTGGCGAGTTCTCACTTTTGCTTTTCTTGAACATTGTTTAAGGAACTTTATCCATGCTTAGTCATCAGCGATTGCCAATCATACAAGTGGAAAGAGCTGGCGAAGTGCTTCGAACACTGTGTGCGTCATTTGCAAATGACCGTCTCTGGCACCCGTAGCGCATGCGTCATGCACTTTCTTGCCAAATAGATGTGATTTTCGTTTCGTGTTCAGCGCATCAAAGTACCCCTTGTGACAACTTTTGATCCAAATCCAAAATTTTGACCTAAAGTCGAAAATGTGGGCACACACGACAGGACACGGCAAATGACGCGCATAGTGTTCGAAGCTCTTTGCCAGCTCTTTCCACTTATAGGATAGGCAGTCGCTGATGATTTAGCATGCATAAGAGTTCCTTTGAACAATGTTTTCAAGAAAAGCAGCTGAGAACTCGCCAAGAAGTCGATCTCACGACCTCTTGCTCGTCGGCCCGGGCCGCTGCCACTGCACTATCTCGCTTCATAACTACGTTCAGAGAATCGTTTCGCAGATTTGGAGAGCAGATTCGAGATCAGCGTCCAAAAACACATCTAGTGGTGTATGTCTCGTTACAAATGGCCACTTCGACCTGGTATCCTTCCCTTGTAAGACAAGCCGCACAGCCGCAAGGCATGCCTAGGGATAAACTGAGTGTTTGAGAGCGTTCAGTAGTGAAGCTATTGGTGCTGCACCACATGCTCTTCTTACTGAAAAAGACCCCAGAACCCTCCCTAACTCCATTCTCTCTCTATTACGCTTTTTCCTATATTTTCTTTTGTATCCAGTAATATACATACGTGCAACCGCGTAGAAGAGGTCGGCTTGAAAAACTGAGGTGACGTGACTTGCCTGCGATAGAAAATTTTTCTCCTAATGCATTAAGGCACTGCCGGATATGCACCCCCAGGGTACAGTGGGTGTGTTACGTGGGCCAAAATTTCTGCGAACGCTAGTACTATTAAGCAACAGAAAAATGCTAGGGGGCGGGAGGGACTATAATATAAATGGGTCGACTAGGCCAACCCATTTATATTGTAGTACATTATATGTAGTAACCTAGCCTCTATCCAATTTTTGTATACCGGTTTGGCTCTGCACATTGAAGAAGGATTCCACGATAAAGAAAGAGGTCGAAGAAGGGTAAACTTACCCAGTGACAAGAGAAGCGGACCTCCTAAGGATGCGGAATGCCCCCCCCCCCCCCGCTGTCTATGCTTCAAACCGTTTAACAGAGAGAACGTTGGCTTTGAAGGGGACAGCACCGATGAGAGTCACATCAGTGCGCAAATCAAGAGGCGAATGAGGGATCTTTATTGAATTCTAACGATAAGCCATTTTCGTGTATCCCTGACCATCTCTGATTTGATTTCCGATGGGCTGCCTTTTCATCGCAAAATCCGCCTTTAAATCCTCTGACGAAAGCTCTATAATGGCCGATTCTTCAGATGATTGGTCACCTGTTGTATTTGTTGATCTATGTGTATATTAAGGATCAATTAGGGCTTCCTGCCTCTGTTCTTTGATGAGAATCAATCAGGGAATTAGGAGAGAAGCACGAGAAAGCTACTTATGTCAGGGAGTTTGGGATGCTTAATTGATCTTGTACATCGCACAGTAATTGAACTCCTAATCAAAGATGCTAGGGTAAAAGGAAATTATCGAACACATGATGGTTTATAGTAAATTTCCCCAGAAATCCTCCCTGGCCGGCCTAAACCTGGTGCGTCAATCCTTGAAGTTCAATCACATGGGCAAAATTGTAGCGACATGAGGTGAAAATCCAGTTCGGGGGGGGGGGAGTGGGGTTAGAGAGCACTCCATTGTTTCTCCAATACTTCAGATAGGGATGACAGCGCTGAGGAATGTGGAAGAACCCCTGGGATGTTTTCACATTTCCGCCTGCCATGTTCCAAGGGAACGGTCCTGGACCAGGAGAAGGACACCTCCGCCTAGGGCTAGGAGCTCCAGGGTGGATCACCTGTGCAGAAAAGTGGATGGGATGTGGGCAGGTAGTGTGGAATGTAGGACATCCACCGGTCCTTATCAAAAGTACGCTCGAAATGAGTCGTTCACTTATTATCTTATCCGTAGTGTTCGATAGCCCAAAGAACTGCTCTCTAGTACTACGGATAAGATAGCAATGGAGTGCCCCCCCCCCGAACTGGAGTTTCACCTTGATATGGCCTTATTCCACTGTTGAAAAAACCCACTAATACTGCAGCGTTTGTTCGGATGCGAAAGCTGGTGCCAATCTCGTATAACTTCAAGATCTGGTTTTATTCATTTATTTGTTATTTATTTATCTTTGCACTCATTGGTGCGCTATGACAACAACAGAGTGGGTTAGTTCTGATAGAATGGATCGAGGATCAAAAAGAAAACAAAAACAAAAACAAGATGATCTCTAAAATAAGCCTAACTCGAAATGTTCCTCTTCAGTCTATGGGCCGACGGCGCAGGGGGTGCCAATAAAACAGACTAAAGCACAAAAGAGCTCACACCACGAAATGTGCAAATCTATACAAATCGAAAATTTTGTGGTAATAAAATGGTATGTATTTGCCAGCATATGTAACTTTGCGCAGAATTTTGATTAGGGACCATGATACATCGGAGAAGAATCTATTAGCATTGCTCTCAGAGCTTGCAACAACGTAGAGCTTCTGAAAAACGAGCCGCGAAGTCCTACAGATTACCGAATGACTGGAGTCTGATTCACGCAAATGAAGGAGGGGAATCGAAGTTGAAAGCGAGGATGCCGTCACAAGGCCAGGGTCATCGCCACGTTTGCCAAGGCATCAGAGAAGAGAGTTGAAGAAGGGGAGAATCCATTGGAGTACTCCGGCACCGAAGGGACGAACGGAGACATCTGGCACTGGCTAGAGGAACTTGGTAAACAAGGGACGAAAAGTGACTGCAGACTAATAGAGCAAACTCTGAAGTCATGAGGAAGGTCAAAGGCTTGATCCTTCGATGCAACATGAATTTGATCTCTTTGCATAATCAATGGGCGTTCTGAAGAATGCTGAGTTCGAGAAGTAACTTACCGCAAGGTACAAAGGGTGGACCAACCAAGTTAGTAGACTCTTCCCTGAAAAGCCGATGTCAGACTTTGCGAATCGCGCGATTCGCTAGCGTCTGCGGTCGCGTCGCGGCCAGTGAATCACAATTGGCTGGTACCGCAACGCGACCGCGGACGCTAGCGAATCGCTAGTAGCGGATCGTTTGATTCGCAAAGTCTGACATCGGCCTAAGGCTGGAAATGGCACCCCTGCTATTAGTTTCGCAGTTACAAATTCATGGCTGTTTCGATTACTTGCAGTTGTCACAGGGGTGCAAGCTTAGTGTTCATTTAGGCATAATTAAATTTTTTCCTTATGACAAATACTGTTTTTCTTCGATTCCCTTGATGAGATCATATTATACGGATCTATGACCACACTGTGTTGGGGACAAAGCGTATATGACTCTAATTAGTGAAGAGATGTTTGTTACACAAAACATCACCTCATCAGTCTAGCAGAAGAACTCAGTTGCGACAGGATTTGCAATTTATTTTGTCCTTTATTTATTTTTATTATTTTTATTAATGCACGAAAAAGGAGGAAGTTAAGCAGCGACTTCCTTAAACCTGGATAATTCATACGGCGAATAAAGCAGGTAACTGTCAGGACGGATCGTCGGCTGAAGCTGAAAACCAAGCTCTCGAATGCTGAGCTAGAGATAGAAAGAATGAAAGAGTCGGCTTGTGCTAATACTTACAAGAAGAGCAGTATACATAGCAATGCCAGGAATGATGAAGTATCAAGACGGTCAGTAGCGGGTCTCTGGACATTTTAGGCCGTGGTTGCCTTAAGCGTAAAAGGTAAACCCTGAGTAGGGAACTACTGGTGCGAGTTTTAAGAGGGTGCTCTCCACCCTTTTCTCTGATAGCAACTGCCCATCGACCTAGCGCCAAGACCCTAACCGATGCTCTAACAACTTAGCACGTGAAAAGAATATTTCTGACAATTTACGCGATCGCCACAGAAGGAGACTTTTGAGTGTAGTTTGTTCAGGCGATCCATTGCGTGCACGATCAATTAGTAAGCATTTTAGCGCGATCTTTGGTCACCCCAGGCCAAAATGAGTGAATGCTCCCCTCCAGTCTGTAGTATAGAACCCTAAAAGACAGTCACAAAAGGTTGCGTTCCATGCACGAAAACCAACCTACAAGAGCGCTTGGGCCTTGCAAAGTAAGCTGCAGCAGCTGCAGCTCTTTTCCGTCTATCAGCCTATTGTCTGGCGCCGTCGTCACTTGTGCGCTCCTCTAGCCTCATCTCCCCCTCCGCCCCACCTCCTTTGAACATTACTCATCGCTAATTGCGAACGATGCTGCCCTTAGGTGCCAGCTTTTGGAATGGATTTTGCTTTTTCTCCAACCTGCTGCGCCATTTGCGCTAAACGTAGCCCATGCTGATGTAAGCACCAACCAGAATTCGGATCCTGGACCATTCTTTGAGTGTTGTATAGCAGTGAAACGTGATCCAGTAAATGACCGGACCAACCTACTAGCTGCGGTCGGCGCCTTGTTTTAGTTGTGCGTCGGACCCTGCTTAGTTTTTCCATTCAGTATTGTTTATAAAGTCTCTTTCGCAAGTCTATCACTGGCCGAAAAAGTTCCGAACGACAAAGAACGAAAGAAAGAGAAAAGAGATTTCAAGACAGGTTCTGCATCTTTTATACTCATGATTGCTCTTGGTGATGTGGACATCAACACACGGGATCCCACACATTGGTCTTGCCAATGCTCGATGGCTACGGTAGGTAAAAGTGTTGGTCTTTCTCACGGCAAACAGGTTTGAATCAGCAGATAGCGAATATTATTTTTGGCGCTATCGCAAGATACGGGGGCGTAGTTGTGGCAATGGCTTCGAAGCGACATCCCTTTTATGTCCGAAAATAGGACCCAACCTTGGGCAAGGGAGGAGAAGCTACAGAGTCCGTGAACCATTCCAGCCTTTTTTCCCGGCATTCCTGCCCCCGTCCTCTCCTCCTAGGCCGATGTCAGACTTTGCGAATCGCGCGATTCGCTAGCGTCTGCGGTCGCGTCGCGGCCAGTGAATCACTCAATTGGCTGGTACCGCAACGCGACCGCGGACGCTAGCGAATCGCGCGATTCGCAAAGTCTGACATCGGCCTAAAGGATGCCCCTGTATACTACTATAGCGCCCAATTTTTTGATTCACTTCAGGATTTTGTGGATTGTTATTGTGCTATGCTGCTTTGGTGGCTTCATCTGGCAGTTTGTCACGCTCTTCACCAACTACCTCGCCTATAGGGTTAATACCGAAACGGAGGTATGCACATTCTTCGATCAGAAGTGTTCGCGATTTCACCATATTTCTCAATTCTCTAAAGACTTGCCTGAAGACCCCGCACGGCTGATAAAAGCTGATGAAACACATAAAAATGTGGATTTGTGGGAGCCAACTCTGCAAACGAGTACTCGCGTTGGAGTACTCTACAGGAGGCCCCTCGCCCGGCGAGAAGGCAGAGACGCAGACGGGCCGGCGGACGAGTCGCAGCGTGAACTGCGACACGTTCTGGTACATCCTGACCAACTTGACGCTAATCTGCTATAGTACGCGTTGCAACTCGCTTCCGCCGGCCCGTGCTGCGTCTTCTGCCTTCTCGCCGCCGCGACAGTCTGTGTGTCGGGGGTACCCTTTGTCATGTTCGGTTTTGTGACTGTACGCCTACCGTGCATATGCTTTCCACCAGAGCCCAAATAGTTCGTTCTCAATAAGGGAGATGCTTGCCCTCACGGGCGGTCTTTCAGGCCGTGTGGAGCAGCGTTTTCAGAAATGGATTCGCCCTGCTTTGTTGCATTTGGAGATTCATGTTGAGCGGTCACAAAACGAGTTCATTTTTCGCTGAGCAGCCTCCATAAAGTCAAAAAGGGCGTAAGCAAATGTACGAGGCCTCAATTTTGCCGGTTGATGACCGATTTGTTGCATTTCAGGCTGTGGGCTCAACAAGATTTCACTCTAAAGTAGCCAAGCGCAAAGGTATAGGGCCGCGGTTTTCGTTACCAGGATCATCGAGCAAACCCTTACAGTGGCTAGTTTTTTACTCGCAAAAGTCGCCAATGAGAACCATAAATCTGCTAATTTTTTCTGATCCTTTTGCCCTTTCAAGGGAAACTCAGGGAATGGAGCGGTCGTCAGCGATTTGCAGGCCTACAACAGAGACGAACCCCTACAACATGCAAAAAGCCGTTTTGAAAAAGCGCTCAACACCCTGAAAGACCCCCCCCCTTTGTCTCAGTGTTAGCTTAACACCTCTTCGGGACTGTGTGAGTAGTTCTTGGCGACTTTCAATCAATGCGCAGGAATTTATCGATAGGATGGAATTTGGCAAAACAACTCGCCTAGATTGGTGGTGGGAAGTTCCCTCAGAAAATTAGTGAAACCGCGCTCGGCCAGTATTTCTCCTCTCACCACAAAGGTGAAATCCACTTTTCTAAGGCCGATGTCAGACTTTGCGATTCGCGCGATTCGCTAGCGTCCGCGGTGGCGTTGCGCTACAGCATGCGAGTGATTCACTGGCCGCGACGCGACCGCAGTTGCTAGGCGAATCGCGCGGTTCGCAAAGTGTGACATCGGCCTAAGGGGGAATAAGCAAGTTCAGATTGTGACGATCTTTTCAGCTAGAATTCTCGGATCGCGAATTCGCTTCGGTCACGTTGTGCCATTTGAATGCGTGGAAGAGGGACGAGAGTGCTCTGGCGAACCCCAAAATGAAAGCTTTGGTGAGGGTTTTGGTGAACACCATGGACCCTTGAGTATATGCAGATTGCTGAATTCAGGTGGATGCGTACCAAGCGGGTACCGCTTTTTGGCTGTCGCGGAGCATGGTTGAAGTGGTAGTTACTGAAGTATCGCGCTTTTCAGCGGGATCGCAACTCGACGGAGCTTCTTCACAAAGTGCTCACCAGAATACACGCTGATCATGTGAGTGAGGATCCTGCCCACTCGTCAAAGTTAGAACGGGCCGGCTGAGTTCACGCTTACGTTCACTCGGATGATGTGGCGGAGCGCGCCAGCCTTCTGAATTGTATCAGGCGACTGGGTGCAGTGAGCTGCAACTTGATGGTGGATCCCCAAACTACCCAGCATCTTAAAGCAACAGTTCAGGAACGGTTTCGCGGGAAAAAACCACCAATAATGAAGTTGTAGATGAAAACCAGACGATTAATGTATGAAAAACTGGAAAAAAACGTCGGGGAGGGTCTTAGACAGGTACTCTCCCTCTGCCGCTCAGCAATGGATAAAGACGCACGTTGGACGAGTTGTCTGAACGTGCCCGCTGTAAACGCGCTCCATTTTTCAATCAATTTTCCCTGTGGTCCCAAAACGAGCACGATTGCCGACGCGTCCAATGACGGCCGGCAAGGGGGCGGGATTGGGGAAATCCCCAAGAACACCCATGTTTGAGGGACTTTCCACCCTGTTTTTGAGTTTCTGAGGTAAGTTCGTTTATTATTTCCACTGCATATGTTCTTCACTAGGGCTCGTGTATCCCTCAGTAGTAGTGGCATTGAAATTTTCGGACCCTCCCTGAACTGTTGCTTTAAGAAGCGTACTTGAGGCCGATGTCATAGTTTGCGAATCGATCCGAGCGTTGCGCCAGCGAATCGAACGTTGCACCAGCGAATCGAACTTTGCGCCAGCGAGTCGAACGATGTACCAGCGAGTCGAACTAGGTACCAGCGACTCAATAGTGGCGGGACCCAACGTTTAAAGGAAGCCCGCCACTTTCAAACAGTGTCACGTGACAGTGGACGCTGTTTGAAAGTGGCGGGGCTTTTTTAAACGTTGGGTCCCGCCACTATTGAGTCGCTGGTACCTAGTTCGACTCGCTGGCGCAAACGTTCGATTCGCTGGACGCAACGCTCGGATCTAGCGATTCGCTAGCGAATCGCTCGATTCGCAAACTATGACATCGGCCTGCACTATGATGGCGCTGCGTCATCGACCCAGAAATAGAGGAGTGGTAGAGTTTTCGGGTGGTGGGGTACCGCAGTGAGACTCGTCGCGCGGTAGAAGGGCCGAGCCTGCGGACGAGTCGCAGCGCCTACTGTAGTGATTTCAAGATAAATAGAATGCCCCGTTGTGTGTCCTAGCACGCACAGCACGCGCTGCGACACGTCCGCTGCCTTCTTGCCGCGCGACGGGCCTCCTGTCGTGTACCCAGTTTCGGGGATCCATCTAAGAGTTGGGCCTTGGTGCACCCGGCTCCAGGGACCTCCAGCGAATGAGAAATTTGGCAACAAAACGAATAAGTTTTAGGGTTCACGACATGCGTACACCTATGAGGACCTCGTCATTAGTTGCACCTACAACGCCAAGTCCTGCAACACAACGTGAGTCGCTGCGTAAGGCTTGCTTAGGCCTTCTCTGGAGAAAATTCTGGTTCAGAGACTTTCGCGAGTTCTACGACCCATCTCATGGTATTTGTCAAACGTTCAACTTCGACGGCAACAAGACTTCGTCAAGAGCAGGACCCCTGTACGGTCTGCGAATGGTGATCCGAACTGATCAGGCGAAATACCTGCCGTGGACAGAAACTGCCTGGAGTCATCATGTCCATTCATGGCAAGGTTTGCTAGCTTTCTCTTTGTACTTAAAGGCAGTGGTCACGATCGCTGGATGGGCGGTGCTGTTCTGATGGCGCCATTGGAACGGTAGAGGGACGTCGAGAGAAGTCTAAAGCGGATACCCGTTAGGGGCCGGGTGCAGCAAGCCTCGGGGATGAGTCCCTAAAACTCTGCGTTTTACTTTAGTCAATGACGCAACTCTTGTGGTCAAGAACAGGGGGAGCGTCCAGAGATGCAGAGTTTTGGGACCCATCCCCGAGTTGGGGCTCGTTGCACCCTGCCGCTGGAAGCCCATCGCGCGGAAAGGGGATAAGGACAATATTGGGAGGGTTGCCTACTCCATCCTCCCTACTGTCTACCCTGCCTTCTTCACTACTGCCTATCTGAATGAATGCTAGAGTAGGCGCGAAAACTCGTCCATTTCTTTCTCTGCGTGCCCACCCTTTGCCGAAGAGTGGGCCTCTTGACCGGTATCCTTCAAAGCAAACCCCAAAGTGGTCTACTCCACCAATGTTCAATAACGTCATTGAAACACCAGCACCATCAAGCCTTTGTGACCACTGCCTTTAGGTCAAGTTACGGAAGTCCTGCGATTTGTTCAAGAGCTCTTTTTTGCTGTGTGAGAGTGGTGTCGCGCAAATGTCGTTGACGGCGACGCATCCGTGGGGCCATGTGCCGTGGTCCGGGACCTGATTGGTGCATCAGATCTCTGATTGTGGCTCCTCTAGGATAGTTCTAGGTTGAGCGAGTCGTCTCCCTTGAAGAGGTCGTTTATTTGAGATGACCGTGTTGAACACGACCTTCAGACTTACATTAGGAGGAATTCTTTGAGGGAAATTCCCAAAAATTCTGTAGGAGTAAGGCTTGAACCAATTTCTAACCTCCCACTCCTTCCTCTATGAACAGTTTCCAGGACGAAGTACCGTTCCCGGATGTGTTTCGGTTACTTTCGCCTGCTCCGAACTGCCACGTCACTAGGTGTTCGATTCATCAGTACTACCAGACTTCCAGAACCGCACGGCACCTGCACCAGGCAGAAAACAGTGAATGGCAAGCACTACAGCGGAAATTACGATGTAAACCTAAGCTTTTAATTTTATGACCATTGTTCATTCTTTACATTTCACATTTCTTTTCGCATTTTTTATGAGTGCACTCATCTGAACATATGATAAGCATACATATTTTTTTATCATAAATAACATTTATTTTCATCACAAAATATATTCGCTAGCATTTATCATATCATATAAAAAAAAATCACAAAATGAGCCGCTTTAGAAGTTTACTATCTTTTCATAAGTGGGTCGTTTACAGGTGGAGTCGTGCTTCCGCAATTGTCTACAGGAGCGAATCGTGGCCGACTGCGAATGTTACGATCCGGCTTATCAGCACGCAGATGACGGCGGAGCTACTCCGAGCTGTGCTGATGGAAATCAAACTAAAAACTGTAAGTGTCGCGAACGCGTCGGGCATGTATGCTCCCCGACACTCGACCTCCCAGCCGAGCTGCCCATCGGCCCACCACGCTGCCTCCTGAGCGCCCACCAGGAGGAGCGGACCCAACTTCCCCCCGGGGACACAGGGGGCGCCCGTCGGCAGCTCAACCTACTCACTAGTGGCCGACGGGCTAACCTAGGTAAACAGCCCTACTAAACCCGAGTGACACACAACAGACCGATATAATTAGGGTAAACCCACATATAATACATAGAAAACACAATTATATTTACTAACATTTATTATGACGTAATAACTCACCATACTCCTCGAACTCCCCGGGGTCACCTCTCTCAGAGGTGAGCCCCACCAGCTGACTCGACGTATTAGACCCCCACGTTGGCTCGTACCTTCTGG